CGACACGAATCGACCGCTGGCTGTTGGAAGCGGGTACCATTGGACCAGCAAACTTTATAAGCCCAAGAGAGCTCACTCTCAAGGGGACTCTCACTTGTGCACGGGAAGGGCGCACTGGCAAGCACACGGGAGTGCGCTGGCCCCTCGCGCACTGCTTCTTGGACGGGGGAATGTTTGGAACGCACGAGCAAACAGGTACAGTCGTGCACCTGAGGCGCACGAGGGCCACACGTGGGAAAGGGCTGATCAGCAGCGAACGAGAGGACACCAACGGAGGGGGTATTCGGACTTACGCATGGAGTGGTGCACGGGCGGCCACACGGTGTGTGTTGGCCCGGAAACGCACGGACACTCTGGAAAGCGCACGAGATAGGCGCATGGGCCTCAAACCGGAGGGAGGCATGGGGTTTACGAGAGGTACGTGACTGCAGACAGGTGCATGGTGCAGGAGCGAATGGGAGGATGACCAATGGGAATGAGCGGAACACGGGGGCACGCGTACTGGTCAAGGGAAGGGAACTAATCAGCGACCACATCGTGTGGAAGAGGGAGCGCCATTTCTACAAGGATCATTGTGCGGATGACCGCGCGCCATCACAAGTAGGATCAGGCGCGCAGGTCATCAGACACGATCACTAGATTTCCGGTCTCTTTCTACCATCCTGCGGAACTACAAACGAAGGAACGGGCAGCGCACGTACGAAGAGAGCCACGTGGCTGAGAGAACGGGAGCAAGAGGGAACGTCACTAAGCGAGAGGGTTGGCTATCGAGAACAAGAGAGCTCGAAGCAAGAGAGGGAAGGGAAACGAGTGCAAGTTGATGAAGGTACGTGTGAATCGTTCATCGGACTTGGATAGAAGGGCGAAAGAGCAGGGGTGAACCTGGGCCCGGATACTCGCCAGGTACGTTCGATGCCAAGAACAAAGATCCTGACAAAGCGGATATGGCGCAATGGAAAGGGAGTGCCACGCCATCTCTTAATAAAAACAGGCAAAGGAGGAGTTGAAGTTGGGGTTCTAGGGCTGGGCGAATCTGATGATGGGGTCGGATTTGGGGATGAACGGGTAGTTTCAGCGCTACGGGAGTGAAAAGGTGCGCTGCATGTGGCGGAGTACGATGGGAGATGAGAGTGTGTGGGAATGGCGACTGAGCCGATGGGAGAGTGAGAACGAGCACGCGCGTGCACGCGCGCGCGCACGTGAGAGAGAGAGAGAGAGAGAGAGAGAGAGAGAGAGAGAGAGAGGGAGGGAGAAACTGGAGCAGACAAGGAGAATTCGACTGTTAGTCAAAGCGTGCGTGATTGGATTAACGGGATTCCCTTCGTCCGTATCTACCATCCTGCAAAACCACAGACAAGGGAACGACTTTGGAAGAATCGGCGGGAAAGGGAAAAGTGCCACGTCACCTAATTAGTGATGCGCATTAGTGGACCAACGCGATTCCCACTGCGCCTATCTACATCCCTCCGAAACCACGGTCGAAGGGGCACAGACGGATCAACGGGATTCTCTCTGTCCTAGCTATCATCGTGTGAAACCACAGCCAAAGGAACGGACTTGGCAGAATCGACGGGGAGGGGAGAAGATCTTGACGAGCTTAACTCTAGTCTTGAGAGGTACGGGGTAAGTGTGCGGAGCTGCTGCGCGCGAAATACAAAGTTGTGCATGGGCGGAAAGGGCTGAGCGGACCAATCTTGGTTGTGCAGCCTGCGCTCGGGTGGAAGAGAGTTGCGCGCGATGTTGGAGGAGCTGCGCGCGGATGCAAGTGAGAGGAGCTGTGTGAGAGAGAGGGGAACGCAGTCCGGAGACGCATCTGGTCGGGATCGCAGACCAGGTTCATTTCCCTCACGAGGGAGATGAGCACACGGGCAGGACAAGCAGCACGCGGAAGCTGAGATCAACACAGGGGAAACGGAGTTCTGCGCACGAGCGAGAGAGAGAGAGAGAGAGAGAGAGAGAGAGAGAGAGAGAGAGAGAGAGAGAGAGAGAGAGAGAGA